ATTCACCACAACTCTTTGGGCCCGGTCATTCAGCCAGTTTTTAACCTGGTGAGGATTTGAAGCAAAAAGGAATATAAGTATATTTAAAGTTATATGAATATAACAGTATAAATAAGAAAGGAGCATTTTTAAATCATCTCCAGTTAGAGGAGTACCAGGAATTACATCATGTTCTCAGAATCCATCATTTACTTTCTGACACCGACACCGACACCAGCAGAACCATGATATGGGCCAAATCCATAGCCAAACATCTCCTACACTTGTGTCCAATATACACACACAGAAAAAAAAAATCAGTTTGATCCTGAGCAAATGCTATTTCAAGGCTTCTCCCTCCACACCTTCAAAACATGACTTTCAGCATTTAAATGAAGTACTTCAGTTAACAGAGCTTAAAAACAGAGCAAAAATATCAAGAGAAAGAGGCCAGCTCTTGAGAGGTCCATCAACCTGCATGAGCTACACTGCCTTAACTAAGGCTGGAGGACATGGAAACCCCCCTCCTGTTGAGCCGGTCAGCGCCACGCTCTGTGCACCGCTGGGATCATGAGGCACAGGGCTTCCTCTCTGCTTGCTAGGCTGCCTCTCACACAGGAGCCTGGGGAAAGCAAAGGGACCACTCTTTTTAGGAATCGGTCATGCCAGGTAGCTAACACACAGAAAAGGGAATCAGGTCTCATTTCTTCTGCTGGCTATGCCCTACATTCGCCCAGCCCAAAGCACCTCTCCTCCCCCTTCCTTGTTTCTGTACTTTAATGGAGGTCTTTGAGGCTTAATTCATTATCTGAAAAGAGCTTTGAGACCATCAAGTGAAGGATGCTAGAGAAGTGCAAAGAGGTAATTCTTGTAACTCATATCCACATGCTACGTATGTGCCTTTGTATATTTTTTTTTCCTTTTATAAAAACAAAATGTGTACCTGATCCTAGAGCAGGGAGAGAGCCATTCATTCCCTCCGCCCTTCCCCCGCCATGCATGCCACCTTGCTGTTTTGTGCGTGAGGTTTGAAAAAGGGGGTCTGACATACCCAACAATCGAATTTGCGTGACCGCGCCGTGTAAAACGAAGAACATCCAGAGGGGCTGGGAACAGTCCACGCAGACCTGCATGCCAGTGCCAGCACCATTGTGACTCAAGTGCAGCTCACCATCTGAATTCACCATAAATCCCAGGATGTCTCCGCTTTGGAGGGGCACCACGACTCGGCAGATGGCCCAGAACTCCTTTCGGTCAACCAAGGACTCGGGGTTATAGGGGAGGTCGCTGGGGCGCAAGGTGCTGGGGTCGCAGGACGTCACCCCGTAGGACAGCGTCCCTGTGCGCACAGCGCTGGACTTGTTGATTTTGACGAAAATGGTTTCGTTGATCCGAAGGGGTCTGCTGGTGAAAACCAAAGTCCTCTCCTCCCGGGCATGCTCCAGACGGGCCACGGTTTGGTCATCGAGGATTTTGACATGGGGTCCCCGGAGGTGGTGAAAGCGGAGGTCGCTCTCCAGCTGGGAGGGAAGGAGGTGGGAGTGCTGGGAGTTGAGGGAGTTCTGCGGTATGGGACATGTGGTGGCCGTCACGTGGAAGGTCTCCTCCTGCAGGTTGAGGTCACACAGGCTGACCGAGAGGCGCGTGTCCTCCGTCTCCCTCCGCAGCGAGGGCCGGCGGATGGCAGTGAAGGAGCGGGGCCGCAGGCAGTCGGGAGGAATGATTTCACTATCTGCAGGGAGAGAGAAAACAAAAAAGGGGTCACTTCAGAGAAAATGAAAACGTCCAGGAGTTTGCAAATCACTATTGGTTTGATTGATATATTTAAAAGGGAAAATCAGAGACCTGCTGTCATTAATAAATTTTCCCCTTTAAAATATGGAAGCAGAGTATCATAAAATGTATTTGCAATCGATTGCTGTTCTTGTACTCTCCCCACCAGCATCATAATTTTCAGCTTCTGAGCAGGCAGACTCAAAATCAATGGAAAGAATTGACCAGGGGAGGATCTCCTTGGAGAGGGGAAGCAGAGGGTAAGTATCTGAAATACACCCTGAACACACCAATCAATATCTATATAGGCCCCGAGTTTTCATGCCCTCTTTATTGTCTACAGTAATTCTCATAGATCTAGGAAATAATTTTTTTATTTTAAAACAAATGCTATGTTCAGTTCTAATTTATTTATCATCATATGAAATTTAATTAATATTCCTGAATATAATTAATCGTTAGTGTTCTGGTGCTCACTGAAAACAGTACAGATATGGATTTCACAGTGCAGAACTTGGGAATATGCAGTTTTCTATAAATAACATACAATCATTTATTATCTCCAAGCCAAATAATTAAAAATCAAATCCACGGATATGTAACAAAGAAAGATAATGCTTACACATTCAAATCCACCAGTGGAAACAGAATTGCACCTTATCCTCTTTGTTAGTCTCACCTGCTGTTTCAAGAGCTAATCATCAATTTATTTGATTCTTTTTCTAAGGAACATAATCACCTGCCTTTAATGCCTAAATTACTTTTATTTAACATATCCTTAGCTATGCTGTTGCCATAGAAATTTTAAAGAGCAATATACTGAGAAAAAAATATTATTTAAACAGATCATAAAAGTAAGCTGAATTAATGCAAAGATTTATACTTCTGCTTGACTTTCCGAACTCTAAAAGCCCATAGCATCAAGAGACTATTTGCTGTGAGAAAACTGAGCATGTTTTCTGCAAATGTTGTAATAAGCTATGACCCAGACTGACTGTTCCTCTGCAGGAACTATGCCTGAAGACTGTTGTGGCTTCAAGGCTGGGTCCAAACGACATGGGGAGGGATGACCCTATACAACACAATCCCCCGCAGGTGGCACGAAACAACACCACCAGACCCCAGCCTGGGACCTGCCGCGAACAGGGCACAAGGTGGAATGACAAGAAGAGGCAGAGGAGCAGACACTCGTTCCTAACCCACCTGCTAGGCCCTTGCAGTGGGCACCTCTTCCAGCCACGTATCCTTGGGATTTTCTTTTATGACAGCAAAAGAGCAGGAACTCAGGTTATCTGAGGATTTTCCCAATGGGATGCACCCTCTCCCAGTTCACCAGAGTAGTGGCTCTGTACTGGTGTGCCAAGGAAAAATGCCAGCTACTGAATAACCAACATCTCCTGCAATATCTGAAGTCTGACTAACAGCCTTTCCTGCCCTCCTCTTCTGGGAGCCCTGACAAGAGCACACCCACACACAGTTTGGCTTCAGCAGAGCTCTTTGCTTTGCTTAAACTGGATTATTCCAGGCTCCTCTTTAAATAAACTGCTATTACGAGGGAAGCACAGTCTCAAAATAAAAATGGGCTTAGTTTCCCATATTTTATTTTCCCCATACTGATATTTCAGCTTCTCTTCCCAGAAGTTAATTAAAGAAAAGGAGGAATAAATACAATCAGAAATTACCCCAAGTAATTTAGAAGTGGGTCGCATTAATGCTTTGTAATATATGGGCTAGCATTTGCATTGCAAGTACTCCTGCTGGATAGAATTAGACTTATTTTACCCGCCTTTGGCTGGAAACCCACATAGGAGAACAAATTAATACTGGCAGCTGATGACGATCCTTTGGTGTAGGTGAATGGGTAGAGACCTTTCTGAATAGGAACAGAAGGTCCTCTCTATTTTATTCCCTGTAACTATGCATGTGCAGCCTGGCTGACAATGTGATGTGTGGGTAGCTTGCAGCCAGGGTTTTGAAACAGCTTGTTTTCCACCAGGATGCTTGCATTTCCCTTTGGCTGCTGGACAAAATATCTTTTTCCATCTGAAAAGAGGTTAAGAGAGATGGAGTTGTTCTGCAGACAAGACACATGGCAGTGATAGCAAACCAGGGTTACGCATCCAACTGTTTTACTTAAATCCATCGGTAGGTCAGATGCCTAGCCACATAAGGGATAAGATGTCTCAAGCATATGGGATTGACTGTGAGACTTAGTTCATTAATGTTTGCAAATACCCATGGAAGAAAGGATTGCAGTTTACTGGTATCTGAAGTGGGTTTGTGAAAATTGAGAGAGATGAGTCTCTAAGAGATACTGGCCTGCTCCAGGGCTCTATGTTTTTATAAATCACAAGATACCCAGCCAAGGAAGAAAAAAAAATCCCATTGAATATAAAGTAAAACAAAAGTGGGATTAATCTTTTGGGGTGGTAGGTAAGTTGGAAGAGATGTGTAACGCCATTTACCCAGAATAACTGATAATGGCCAAGGGCTATGAAAGAACAATTCTGGTGAAATGTGAAACAAATGAGTGACTTTGAGCAGTTTCTTTCATCAGAAGATGCCCAGGAACAAGCTGTTTTCTTCCACTAAAGCTTCAGTTGTCACTTTTTAAACACATATCAAGCTGTTCATGCTGGAGTGGCCCATAACACAGCCTTACTCCTGCAGAACATTTACAACTGACCTTTAACGCCTACAAAGGGGAGACTCTCCGCGTAGGAGTGTTCAGGCACATTTATATTTGTAGAGACAAAGCTGGAGCACACATCAAAAAGACAGAATGACTTTATGTGATGAGACTGTATAATACGAAACGGGTCCAATGGCCCATTACTGAGCAGATCACTCAGCTTCAGCCTGAAGAATTTAGAAATCATCCCTTCTTACTAAATATTCAAGGTTATAAAATTTCCTGTATAAGGCAGTTGGAGTTGGCAGTGTTTCTTTGGGAAAAGTCAACTGGTGAGAGACCTCCTTAGGGGAGAATAGATGGACTTATGAGTGAGGACCACAGCTCTCACTGAGTCACCAGAGCAAGCTTTAACCCAGCTGGTTGGGGTCCCACCAGCAAGCTGGCTGTGACCACAGCAGCTCGATGCAGGCTGGCTGCCCAGGTAGCTTTCCAGAGAGGTTTTGCTGAGCTCTGCGTCAGTGCAGTTATGATGCCAATGCTGGATTTAGAGACTTTCTGGTAGCAAGATAGATAGAGCCAAAGCAGAAAGGATTTCTACTAAATACAAATTTTCTGCACCTCAGCTGGAGAATCTGAGACACTGAATTTTTGTAAAGGATGCCTAACTTCACAAATCCCTTTGTATCTTTTTCTGGCTTTGTTTAAGAAAAAAAGTGAGCAGGAATAACAATGTAGAATTGAAGGGCACTTGAGCAGTTCAGCTGTCTTCTGTATTCTCCTCCTCTTTACTGAGATTTATCTGCAAAATTTAGATTCTCAGCAGCTGATGCCTTACACAGAAAATTAACTTGAAATATCTTCCTCAAACCAGAGGCTTCAAAGCTCTCTGTTTTCCTACTCAGAGGGCATGGAAGAGCCTCCTGCTTCGTGCAGGCTCAATGAAACTGCAGTAACACTCTAAAACAGCACTTACAAGGAGCTGGTGAGCTGCCAGATATAGCTGTAATCGCTGCATCCAGATCAGAAGTATTTCACTACCATGGTTTTTTTGAACGATTGCCAAATGTTGTCTTCTTAAAATCACCCATTTCCTTAAACATGTATAATATGTATAAAACATATTTATTATTGATATCACATATATGCACATTTAATATAGCTACATGTACATCCAAACACAAACACATTTCTAATCACCAGCACGCAAAGATCATCTCAGGCCCACACAAACCCGAAGGGGATGTGTTGCTGTCAGACTGTCAAATCATTATTTCTCTTCCTCTTTTTCTTTTTCAGTACTGTCTGTTGCTGCCTGAAGGCTTGACTTTCCAAGGTCATGAGCAGCCAGTATTCACACACTTGCAAAGGATCTGAGAAAGCAGAGCAAACTCGGCACACACACACACACATGCTGGAAACTTGCAGAGTCCAATATTTAACTGCAGGCTCTAGGGACACAGATCTCCTCCTCTTGATGAGTTTTCTGAGATTGGTGCAATCCTATAGCCTCACATGAATTGTATTTCTTCAGAGTATGAGGGCTGCAACCTCTCTCCAGAATGAGCTATGGAAGAACTAGTATAAATAAAGCAATCTTGAGACTTATTACTACAAAAAATAACTTAAAATTTGGGGAATCAGACTGATAACCTAAGAACCTATCCCATTTCTAATGATCTTCCCTCCCAGGAGAAAGAAATGCTGAGAAAACAAGGAACAACCTAGTTATTCCTTGCATCTGAGGAACATTTCTGTCCTCAGCTACTACGCAAAGAGTAAAAAACTGGTAAGGTCAGAACCTTGCTGGCGTGGTCCTTCCCTTCCCGTGCACAGCCCCATGTTCTTTCCTTCCTTCTGTTCTTTGCTTTATTTCTTCACAAGTGCATTTTTCTTCTCTTAATCCCTTACTTCACTGGGTAGTAGTATTTTTAAGGAGTACTGGTGCTCATTGTATAATTTCCGTGACCAAGGAACCTCAGAGGTGCTAAGCTACCAAAAGACATCTTGAAGTCAGTGGCCCCTACAAGAATATTCTATGTAAATATACAACTGCAAAAGCATGTATACTGTATTATTCCCACCACGCTGGAAGGGCTCC